TGAAAAAAGCGGCAACAAAAGACGGTTTTGTCGCCCACGTTGGTCAGCCCTGTTCTAGACATCATAATGCTGAAGCTGCATTCTACGAAGTCCTGAGGGGAAGTTGTGACATTACGATAGCTCTGTACAATGTACAGGATACTCTTTTTAAATCGGTTTAAAAAAAAGCGAAAACAGAAATTTGAAAAGAAAAAAAAGAAGAGTTTCTGCTGACTGTTATGTTAATTTAAAAAAGGAAATGATGATATCCATCAACGTTCCCACATTTTTTTTTCAAATCTGGGGATTTTTGCGGGGGGAGGGCCTGCCTCCGCCCCTGCCCTCAGACAGAGTTCTTATACCGTTTGCAAGAATGCGTGAAATCCGGTACTCCAGTCGAGATCCGTGTACTTCATACACCTCGCCCATGACTAAATGTTCCATCTTGAAAGCTAGTGGCAGTACGTCCAGAATGCGTATTGGGGTCAGTCATTAGACAAGCAGCTGTCGTTAGTAGGCGCTGTTCAATACGTGATTACAAGACGTATTCACTGATATCGAAGCTACAAACGCTGCCAAACTTGTTCTGCATTTAAAAAAAAAGCTCCTTGATACCGGTAGCTTCCTCGTGCAGGCCTTCACCTGGGAAGATGTAGCTTGGTCAATTGTGTTCAGACGTTGTCCATCAAAACGGCAACAACTTCCTCATCTCGAGTGGCCGGGTGCACGACAGCCCCGTCAAGAACTCCTCAGGTGAATGGCTCGCCAATAACTGAACAGGTGTGTGATTTCAGCTGGGCTGACTCCCTGAAAGTAAGTATGATCGTTCGTGGTACAAGTAGTCAAGATCTTACTCAATGAGCAGCGCTCGTAGCACCTGGAGGATATCTCGATTAAAGTGCTCAATGATATTGTTATGCGAGGTGAAGTGAGTTCAATCTGGAGCGAAGCGCTCATATTGGCCATGGCTTGGTTTGTTGAAATCTGATACTAGCCTTTGCGGACATCAGTACTGTTTGTACCAGTCCGTCAGCATTTCAGCGGCCGAGATCCACTTTGGACTTGAGGATATAACAAATACGCAAAAGTGACTTTGAGATTCCTTTAAAGCCAATGCGTAGATCGCATGGCCGTAGCCATCTCCAAGGTATATGAAGTCCCAGTGCACCTCTTCATTGCGTTGGGTATCCAAAACTGACGAGCCATCAGGACACTGAATCTGGCGTGGGATTTTCACGTACTTGCGATATAGACACCTTCGTATGAGCTGCGATACTCTCTCAGGCAGCCCGATATTGTAGGGCCGTTCACTCATCAAACCGGCCATCACCGCTTCACCACAATGCACTTGAGCGTCGTGATGCGCAGCGACCATGGTGCAAGCTAGTAGATCTTTGCTGCTGTCGAAATCAATTGGGGCCACAATCACAAGTATTCCGCCCTCTCTCAACACAGGAAGCAAGGCCACAACTCAATGTGCAACCTTCTGCGCTTCTATGATGATCGAGGCGTCCTGGAATACAAACACTAGGTTGGAGTGCGGGTAGATCCTGGATAGGTCCGCAAGCGCAGCCAATGATTAGCACCGCATCTGGGCGTAAATGACCCGAACGTTGAGGTGAGCGGCCAACGCTACAATATATCGACCCACAATTGAGTTCACCGGCAATTTGCTTAACCATATACATCAGACCTAGTCTGCGAAGTGACCATCGTTGTAACGAATCGTGTACATGCTGTGCGGCATCGGTAATTGACGTATACGTCGATTAGATTCGAATAGCCACAGTAGCGACGAAAACCGTACGATGCAGCAGCAAGTTCTACGAGTCGGTGTAAGTCGTGACGATAGGAAATTCTTCCTTCTCGATGCTCGGCCAAGCGCACCAACGTCACCGTAATGCTGAATCCAGCCATAGATGCGTCTGTGAAGACACACAGATCAGCGTCATCTGTCAGGAACGCCACCAAGCGGATGAACGCCATGCCAGCAGCAAACGCGATTTGGTCATGTCGTACGAGCATCTGAATGCGGTCGATGGTCACTTTGGCTGTTCTAACTGGCTCACGAGAAGTTATGGTCGAGTACCATGAGTGACGGAGTGGTGGTTGACCATTATTGTCACTGACTGATGGAGAAAGAGAGTTCTGCTGCGAGTAATACGAGCGT